ACCCCACAGTTATCAGGGCAGGGAAGCCTGCGCGGGACTGGGTGGTGCTTGATTCTCGCGAAGGCCAAGGCTTTTTCGGTCCGGTTAGCAAACGGGACGAGAAGCGCGCTCGTCGGGAGGAGGAGCGGGTTCGCGTTCGCGTCGCAACGGGGCTTCTCTTCGTCCGTGTCGCAGCCGCACGCGCATGTGGGGCACGGGACGGCCGAGTCCGAGTAGTAGGCGGAGTAGGACACGCAGCACTTGGCCTCCTTGGGCTTGGGTCGGGTCATGTTGCAGGTGACTTTCCAGCTGGCGATGGCGGAGGTGGTGGCGTCGATACCTGTCGGATCAGGGAACTGAGACGGGTCGACCCGGACTGGCGGCCCGCACTTGTAAGTCGGGTTGATGCGGCCCTGAATCTTCCAGTTCTGCGGGGGGTTGAGGGCGGTGCGGTTCATGTCTGGTGGGAGCTTGAAGACCTCGAGCTGGAATACGGAACGGGCCCTCGTCTCGTTCATGGTTTTCGGGAGGAGGGTGCCGTTGTTGCAGCAGAAGGGGAGGCGGCCGATGTTGTCGTCGTTGGCGGATTCCGGCGGGAGGTCAGCTATGACGGGGTGCTTCTCGCAGGTGACGACAGTGGAAAAGTCGAAGTCTTTGTAGTATTGGCCCTGTGGGCCGTAGATGCAGTTGGATGGGTCGCGGTGGTGGGTGTAGGCCCCGCGCATGGAGTAGATGAACTCGTTGCGCATCCATTCCCAGGTGAGGTTCCACTGGTCAAGGCGGCCGAGGGGGTGGTTGTTGTCGATCGTGACCTGGGCGAGGTACTTGTTCTCGTAAGCGCGGAGGACGTCGTACGTGAAGTCTAGGTCACCATACTGGCGGGGGAGGAATTTCGTCTTGAGCTTCTTCTTGAACTTTGGGTCTTTTTTGCAGCAGACGTGCATGTAGCTAGCTGCAGATTAAAAGAACAAAAAATACATGAATTTTTGGTGAAATGTTGACTTTTAACATCAGAAGAGCAATGTTGTTTATAGTAATGAAGACGAAAAACAAAATAAATTTAAACAAAGCGACAATTATAGAGAGCTCGAGATACAGAGATAAAGAATGGTGTACATTTACGGTCGGCAGCAGGACATTTATACCCTTCGTTGACGAGCCTGAGCGCGCGGGGCATAGGTGTAGCCTTAGCGCCGACCCCAAACATGGTCCCCTTGAGATTAACCTGCACCTGCATCTGCGTATAATCCGCAGCCGTGTCGATAGCCGTTTTAAGATCAGCCTGCGGGTAACCCGCAAGGATTGTCCCGTTCTTCCCAACCCGAACGGGGAATCCATCCCCATTGACGACCACAGCCCCTTCGGCCGACACCAGCAGCTCGTGGTGCTGGAAGCCCACAAACACCTGCCACGACTTGAGCTCCTCGGAACCCGCGTTGAGCACGGTCACCATCCCTTGAAAGGACCACGCCTGGGCCGACACGTTCTTGACGAGCGGGTACTCCTTCTCCCGGCCCTGGAACACGTACGAGACGAAGATCCCGTTGCAACGGTCAACCTCCTTGGGTGGGGCCTCGGGGATGTCGGTGGGGGCCCCGTAGTCCTGCCCGTTGGAGAGGACGACGAGGAGGGCGAACGTGAGGACGTGCCACGGTATTC